ACGTTTCATAGGATCATAGAGTTGAGAGAGACCACAAGAGCCATAAAATCCAACCTCCTGTCATGCAAGAATACACAGTCAAAGCACCCCTGACAGATAGCAGCTGCATCTATATAGATATATATGGATTTTTGTTTGCCACCCTTGAGAAATCTCGACTCATGGCAACCGTGTGGGTGAGACGTCTCCAAGACTCCCTATATTTTACAACTTAGACAATGAAGAAATAGTTCTTGTAGATTCACACCCATGACCGGCTTAATGGAGTACATTCATCTAACATGTGATTTTCCTCTCTTTCTCCTTCCCTCCACCTTTCCTAGCATTATGGTGTTTTCTAATGACTGGTGTCTTCTCATGACATGGCCAAAGTATAACAACCTTCATCTTGGCTTCCAGGGAAATCTCAGGTCTGATCTGTTCTAGGGCCCTTTTGTTTGTATTTTTGGCTGTCCACGGTATCCTCAGCACTCTTCTTCAGCACCACATCTCAAATGAATTTATTTTCTCCCCCCCCCCTTTTTTTCTCCCATTTTCTTAATTGTTCGGCTCTTGCATCCATACATGGTAATGGGGAATACAATTGCTTGTATGATTCTGACTTGTGCTTAGTTGTATATCTTTGCTCTTTAGGACCCTTTCTAGCTCTTTCATAGCTGCCCTTCCCATTCTTAGTCATTTTCTAATTTCTTGACAGCAGTCACCATTCTGATCAATGTTTGATCCAAAGTATAATAACTCTTTTATTATTTCTATTTCCTCATTGTCTAGGTTGAAATCATCAATATCTTCCATGGTCATTATTTTTGTTTTAGAGAGAGAGATGTATATAAATCTGCTGACAGGTCATTTTAGAATATTATAATTGTATTTGAAATATAAATTTTAAATTCTTTCAAGCCAGTAAGTAAGTGATAGAATTCAAAGATATAGCCATGTTAGTCTGTAGAATCAGTATATAGAGAGAGCTCTTGTAGCACCTTTGAGACTAAGGGCCTTTACAGACTGCCAGAAATAATGCAGCTTGAGGCCACTTTAACTGCCCTGGCTCGGTGCTATAGAATCATGGGAAATGTAGTTTTTTCTGAGACATTGAACCTTCTCTGTCAGAGAGCTCTGGTGCCACAATATACTACAGTTCCCATGATTCCCTAGCACTGAGCCAGGGTAGTTAAAGTGGCCTCACGCTGCATTATTTCTGGCCCTAACTGAAAGAAAGAAAGCCCTAACTGAAAGAAAGAAATTGGCCGCATGAGCTTTCGTAGACTTCAGTCTACTTCCTTAGATGCATTGAGCTAATTTACTCAGGCTCTAGGTACTGTTTAGAGAGTACCTGCTTCCATGTGAATATCTTTCACCTTCTGATGAGGCCTAGTTCTATGAAATATTTCTTTCAAAAGGTACGCTCACTGTAATGAAAACCCTTTTTGTTTTGATACCGCACCTCTAGAACATCCTCAAAAAGAAGCTCATCAAACAGGTTTGAAATTTTTTTTAAAAATTACAAGGCAATTTGTCAGATTTCTAGTGTGTGACTGTAATTCTTGATGCTGTTTCCTTTTAATGGATTTTTATTGAAATCTTCTATTTTATCCAATCTTAAAATGGCTCTAACCCATTTGGAGTTATAATTGAAGAACGTTTATTAATTTACTGGGTCTTATTTTAGCATTTAACTGCCCAAATTACCTAACTTCACGTGGGTTGGGAATGATCTTATTTTGATACATCAAATGCTTCAAACATATACAGCTAATAGTGTTGTACACATTGTGCTGAGGCATCCTGGCCTCCCAAACTGTTCCACTCACAGTCT